GTGATAAGATGCTACAATGCTGCATATGCCCCTCAGAGAGCTTTGGATGGGGACAGATGATAAAGGTTTCTCTAATGTTCTCCCCATGCACCCAATGATACTAATGATGTTTTAGGGCATTTACTTACTGTTTGTCTCTGACCCATTTATGCATTACAGTATTCAACTCTCACACCAGCACTTAAAGAAATTAATATTTTCTCTCTTTCTTTGATGAGTTAAAAGAGGCTCAGAGCAGAGAATCACTTGGCCCAGGTCTCTAAGCTCGCAGGTGGTGGGACTCACATGGCAACTCAAGTCTGTGAGTGGATATAGCCCTGATGCCATAGCTCTAAAATGCTATGCTCTGTGTTCAACTATATGCACTTTCAACTCTGCATGCCAACTCACCTGCTCCTGCTCCCCAAACAAAATGTGTCTCTACATTTTGATGCCTTTACTCTGCATAATTTTTTTTCAAATAAGGGTAACTTAGGAAAATTAGACATTTTTGTGAGAAAAAAAATAAGGATGAAAGCACAATAGTCTTGAGGGATGGTTGAGTGATTGTGTTTAGACAAGATAACACCCTCCATAGCATGTTTTGCTAGCCAGTAAAAAAATATTAGGGATGCTTTCACTTTTAATATCCTTTTTAATGTTTTTAAAGAGAAAAAAAATAGTATCTGTCACATATACCACATATACAAAGGGTATGAATGTATTACACCGTTTCAGTAGAATTACCACAACTCAAAGATACTTTATTCACTAGCTACAAACTTTATGTACATTTATTTCTTATATTCAAAGAATTTTTGCCAAGCTATTTTACAACACATAATTAGTGACCTTGTACAGAACTACTGGACATTATTCTCCATCCCTGCTTGGCCCTGGGGGAAATTATTACATTATTATTCTATATGGCCAGTGTCATGCTTGATTGCCTTATTTTTGGCACACTATCAACAATGAGTGGGAACTCAAATTGTTACTGTGAAAAGGGTAAGCAGTTGTTGTAACTCTCCCCCCTTTGTAGTTGTCAGACACTAATAGCTTATCAGACACTAATCAGAAGTTTTCTGATAAAATCCTGAATTAACAAAAATCAAATTATGAGCTGGCCACCATTGCTTTTCACATTCATTTTGTGCTTCTGAGTTGTGATACCAAGTTTCTTTGCATTTTTCTGTGTGCTTTGTAAGGGTGAAGTTCACTGTAAACTTGGGAGGATCTCTGTTTAGAAGAGATTGAAAGGATCTGGAAAAGAATATGAATTGGCTGCTGGGTCAGAAATGTCACCAGTGTAAAGTTGGGAGATGGAATGAATAATGCTAGCTAAAAGCCAGGTGATGTTAGTTTGAATTCTATAATACTTATGTTTACTTTAATTTTTCCCCATGCAGGTAATTTCAAAAACACTTTGTCCAGGGGCAAAATACTGAAAATACAATGTTTACTATTTATTCATTTTTTTCTTTCAAAAAGAGAATATCTAAAGCATTGCAAAGCTTTTTTATTCTTTCAGATTTCTTTCAAAATAGTGTTCATTTTTCTTTAGCTGATCTAAATCCAAAAATATCTTCGAACATTGTAATTATCTGCTTAGTATTTCTAGCCAGTCTTTGCCTATAAATAATAAAAAAGATTCACAGTGAACATTAATATCAGAGGGTAGGGTGAATTTTGGATGCAAATTTTTCCAGACCCTGACAAACATGAAAATATTGGCATAACCTTATTTAAAGTGACACCTACTGAAGCTGATTTCCATGTGTATTATTCTATAATTCTCAGTGACAAAATTCATACAAAAAGGATAAAATCTCAGCTGTTTTGTATTGTATTCACTTACTTTATTATTATTATTTTTCAAATTTTGAACTTAAAAAATTATTTTATAAGTCTTGGTTTAAGAGTCACAAGTATTGAGTGAGTGATGTCAGTCTTTTTCTAAAATATATTTTAAAAGATACTGTCTGGACCTTAGGAATCTCTGTCATTCTAGAAGGGTGATACTTGGTAAATAAAACAACAAATCTACTAAAAAAGAAAGAAAGAAAAGAAAACAAACAATATGGCTGACTGGAGCAAATTTTTCCTTAGATGCCTTAACAAATTATACTGAATTTCCCTGGCATGTGTGAAGGCCAACAGTTATTTTTCAAATGTATTTTGCTGGTGGCTGACCACATTGACTCTGAGGGCCACATTTTACATTTGCATTCTATAGCTTAATATGGCCCCATGGATCAGAGAGGATTCATTACCGCTAGTCCCATAATCATTCACAAATTTGAGAGGATAATGTGTACTTTAAAATATTAGGCTTTTTTCTTGACACCCACATTGTATGATAAGCATAAGCACTTACATTTTTTTGAAGTGAACATTTAAAAACATTACATTCAACAATTAGACGCTAAATAGTAATACATTTGCTTATCTAAAGCATGCAAACTTCAGAGTTTACTGAATATTGTGGCAACTCTAATGATCACTGACTATTTCAGCATTCAATTTATAATTTAGTTCTTTGAATTTGTTACATACATTAAAATGTATGTCTCTGCACACTCAAATGTGTGTGTGTGCATGTGTGTCTGCTTATTGGTGTAATCAGAAGAAATTCAGCTTAAACACATATGGTGGGGTTGTTTAGACTTTTAACACATTATAACAATTAGATATTTCTAGTTTGGGGTCCAAAATAAAGAGGATGATTGAAAAATTTAATGTCTTGGCAGCAAAAGACCACGATTTGCTCTTGAATAATTGCTTTAATCTTGTTCTTCAAAAAGCAAATAGTGGGTTCTATATTGATGGAGGCATAACAATTCTGTAAAGTGTTACAGGTAACACTGGATAGCTGGATAGCTTTAAAAATACAACTGTTTATTTTCAAGTTCTTAGATAGTTTCTGCTTTCTTGAGCAGGATTGAGAATATCTCTAATTCAAGGAAAGATGATTTATAAGCACTGATGTCTGGAAGATAAATTTCACACTTAATGGTGTATCTTGTTTTGTTATGCTCTCAGAAATTTGTCAGTGTATTTTTCTTATAGTAAAACTAGTGGCCCGGTGCATGAAATTCATGCACATTAAAAGAAAATTAATTAGAGGAAATATTTTAATATTGCTATTTGCAATTTCTCTATCATAGAAGTGTCAGAGATGAAAGAAAATTAGTAAAATGTATATGAAAATCTTTCTCCTGTCCAAGTCTGGGGCACATTGCAGAACCCAGAGTCAAGTCCCTGCCCACCCACATGTGCCTTGAAATTGCCCGAGACCCAGACTCGGCCGGCCCCATCCCTGTCAAGCCTCACAGGGCAGGGGGCACAGCCTCAGGTTCCCCAGCCTAGCGGGTGTGAGGGTGTGACAACCATTTGCATATTAGCTCTTTATTATATAGGATAGATGCTTCTTTAGGACCATTAGTTCATTTCTTTCAGGGGAGGGGTACTTCTGAAATATCTAAGCAAACATAAGGAAAGCTCTGTCTGTGGGAAGGTGTGTATTATACTCTTGTTTGCTGGGTATTAGTTCATATGCATCCAAACTATCGTCTGGCTTTCTATTGTAATAGATGATTCACCTTTCTACATTTTGCTTGATTTCCTGATATGTACATTTGTATATTTCTTAAGGGTTTGCCTTTAAGCATATATTATGATATTTTCCTACATCCCTTACTCTTTTCTTCAATGAGGAGAGAGGAGAGGTAAAGGTCTGTACAATTTATAAAGTTGATGTTCATCTTAAACTCTTTCCTTGGGTTATGGAGGAGAAACACACTTTCCTTTGGAGTAGATAGGTGCTCCTGTCTGCCATAGTAACTATGAATTAGTATTTTTAAGTCTTGCCTAAAAATTGGTAGGCAGTTTCAAAGATAAATGAGATTCTTCCCTTCTTCATTAGAAGGCATGTTTAGTGTTTTATAATCTACACGTGGACAGAGACAACAATATGGTGATTGCTGAGGGAAAGTGGGGGTGGGAGGTACAAGAGGGTAAAGAGGGGAATAAATAGTGATGGAAGAAGACTTGACTTAAGGTGGTAAACACAATACAATATACAGATGATGTATTATAGAACTGTACACCTGAAACCTATATAATTATATTAACAAATGTCACCCCAATATGTTAAATAAAATTTTCATCTAAGTATTTATGAAAAATAAAGAGTATCATAGGAATTTGCTTTGTCATTTTAAGGTTCAATTTTGACTCTTCTTAGTTTGCCACTTTAAAATATGTAATGGTCAAGGAGTAAATGATTATTATTTTTCTTTTGAAGCAACTTTCTCAGAAAAAAATAAAGAGGATGACATGTAGCTGCTTAGTGATTTGACTAGATTTCCTTTTCAGTTACGTTTCAAGGAGATAATTTTTAAATCTTAAATTTTTAAATTAAAAATTTTAAATCATTCTATAAAATGTGTTCTCGTGAGCAAAAAAAATGGTCATTAATTTCTACTCTTTGAGGTTATTTTTCCATTATTCTAGTGGAAAAAATTAGTCATTTAACATTTTTTTCTGTTAAAGCTATAGATTAAGTTGTTTTATTTTATATAGCTTTTGATTGTATTCACTCACAACATTGCATTTGAAAGCTTCTTTAATCTTTTGGAAAAATCATATGTCACTTTAGTTTCACTAATGTATATTATAAGTTTTAAATGGAAAACAAAGCACTTTACAAGTATTTTTCAGTTTGTTACACATAATAATTTAGAATTTCAAAGGATGATTTTAAAGCCCATTTTCTTTTTGAGGGAGGCAAATATCCTAGTTATGTCTTTTTGATATGTATATGCTC